CCCGGTCCTACTGAGACGAAGAAGCCTCTTCTCCAGCAGGACCCCCATATAAAAACCAATTAAAGAACTCTGCTTGAAATCGCAACATTAGTTTTAGATTTTTTTTTTTGAATATTTTTCCACGTAATCTTGAATTAATCTAAAAATTTAGCAATTTTTAAAGTATTTTCCTTTCTTTTCTACTAGAATAACGGACAAGAAATAATAAAAGTCGTTTTTTTTTTTTTAATTTTGAAATGGATTCGTATCATTGGACGATTTAAATTTAAATAAACCAATTGCGTGTAATAAACATTATTATTATTCTTGACAATTTATAAGTAACGGAGAACATTTTTTAACATCGAAAGACTCCACGCGACGATACTTTTCGCATGAAGGTTCGAACCCACGACCTGCGTTCAGTGGTTTTTATCCACTCGGCCGCTAGTGGGTTCGTATTGATGTTACGTTTAATTCTTATTTAATCGTGAAAAATATATTTATTCAGCATTCATCGCATGACAAGTAAGCATTAAAGATTCAATCTTAACTAGAATTAGATTAGGCAAATGAGTCATTACTTCATTATTTTGTATAGAAAAAAGAAAAATTGTTACACAGATTTCATTTGAATTTAATTAGCACAGTAAATTATATCATTAGCAATTCCTGGAGTGTTTGAATAATTCTTGCTCTTCATTAATTTCCAGCTAACCAACAATAAGCATTACTCCAGTAACTCATCATACCTCTACCTTATATAGTACTTAAATTTATTGTTTATAAGTGATGCAGTATATCAACTACACATAAAAATCACAGTTTATCATCTAACCTATGTAAAATATCTCTCCTTTTTAATATTTATTAACACTTCTTTACCTTTCATCTTCACTTTTTCCTTTAACTAAGGCATAATTTATGGTTAAAGTAAATTTACAACGTTCGTATACATTAAAACGTAACACAGGACATATATTTGTTATCTCTTCTAATGAAAGTTTCTTTTACTTCAGTGTGAATTGTTATTTATACTACTTCATATGCTAACGGGGGTGCAGTATAAAACCTTTTTGGAGGCACTTCACAGAAGATTATATGGGAAACTGGTCGCTATATAGATGCTAGACAACTAGAGGCTAGTCCTGTATTGGGTTCGAACCCACGACCGGTGTTTAGTAATGTTATTTACAGGGCCATTGGTGGGCACGTCGTAAAAGAAATGCGTTAATTTAATATTCTATGACATTTTTTCAAAGTACGCAAGAAATTAGTTATATAAAATTGAATGAATTTAAGGATATAAATCAAACAAGAATAAAGAATCAAAGAATTTATACGATGCATTAAGATAAATTGAGGTGATGCACGAGGGAAGAATTGCCATTATGGGCAGCTGTTGCAGGCAATTTATAGAACTTGGTGCTTAATACTTCAGTATGGAAGCAATTATAACGCATTACCAATTGAGTTTTTTGTAGATAAAAATAGTTTTTGGAAGCTCTTTTTTTTTTAAATTTTGAAGCCTTTAATGCTTAATTTATAACAAGAAGAGTTGATTATGATCAGGGAATATCACTTCATTTATTAGCTCGTGTATTAAACATTACTTAGAAGTATATTTCACTTATTATTTCTTTTAAAAAAAGCCCAATTTTTAAATGTAATTTAAAATAATATTTGAATTTTTTTTAAAAATTTATGACTAGAATTTGCATCACCCTTTTATATTTTCGAGTATTTTAAAGGCTTTTCTTTAATAGATTACTCTGGGGAAGGGTAACACTGCAGAGGAATAGTAAACTTTGAATGTAGTATTATGTTGTATTAGTAAATTTTATTAACATTAGAACAAACAATACCTACTTTTAAGTGGTTTCTTCTGAATAATTATTGTTCTTTGTTAATTATACTTTTGACACACGAACACGAAGAATTTTCTGAAATTAAAAATAAAATGTTTTAATTATCTTAAATTTATAAAATTATATAATTATATTTTAATTTTTTTTCAGAATTCCATTATGCATAATTAATTATCGATGTGTTAGAATAAACATTCTGTACAGAAGAAAGGAGCTTTTCTTTGTGTGTAAGTTGTCAAAAAGTATAAAATTAACCTGAAAATTTGGCTAGAAAGCCAAATTTTCAAGTTAATTTAGTACTTTTTGACATTTTAATTTAATAAAATTAACTTATTTTGATCTTTCCAGGTTACTTTGGTGTTTCTCTCTTGTTTAATCATATTCTTTTCTCCCTTCACTTCAGTATACTATTGTCTTTCTATATACTTTTATTGCATTTTATCGAACATTTTCGTTTCGTTTTTTACTGTTAACAATTGAATTTTCTCGAATTTCACTGTTTAATATAGAAGAAAATTTAATACACTTGAAAAAGCATTTGATAAGAAAAAAAATCGATTTTAACATTGTTTACGTAAATATTTAAATAATTTTAATTTAAATAATCAATAAGTGTTTTACTTTAAATAAAATCAGCGAAAATTTCGTCGAATATAACGAATATATTTTCTTTCTATTTATAACGAAAGAAAAATGCAGTAAGTTCTTAGAAAATGGAAACGATAACACGCTTTTACTTACGAAAAAAAAAAGTGCTGCAAGTACTGAAGTTTTTAAACATTCATTTTAATATTTATCTTTGCTACTTCGAAGTATTTATTCAATAAAATGTATCCTCTTCCTCGAAATTACGTTTCTTTCCCCCTTGTGTTTTTTTTCGTTGCACTTCTTATCACTTAATGAAGGAAATCGTCACATTTTCTGTTGCTCCTCTTCTAACGATTTCACATTTACGAGTAACAAACACTTTATTTTACACCAAAAGACTAAAAAATTAATCGATAGAAGTGCTTATTTTGTAATATTTAACTTAAATTTCAGCGTTTTTAAATAATAAAAATGAATTTAATCCAGAAAATTTAATGAAATTTCTGTAAACGTCCTCGAATTTCATTCACTTGTAATTAAATAGATGAAACTTTGACGACATACCTAAGCCCAATGACGTTGTATTTTAATATTGTTTTAGGGGTTATCTCGCCCTTTTTACACTCATCTCGAAAAACATAATCAATAAAAGGGTTCTTCTCTAAATATATTAAAATTATTCTCTGTAAAACGTGTATGCGAAGCCCGGTTGAAACATAAACACACTCTGTACACTTGACACTTAAAAATTAACGTTTAAGGTTAAATTGATAATACATTACCATCAAGAAAGTGCTTTATAAGTATATTAGCCCTTTAGTGTGTGTTAAATTTGAATAAATTGATGCGGTATCATCCACTGAATACTGGTAGTCGTGGGTTCGCACCTGACTACGTAGAATTTTCTTCACGTGTCTAACACCTAAATAGGGACACCCTTTCATAGAATGTCCTCCAGTGAGGCATCCTTCTTGGTACAGTAGACCACCTATAACACTGTAGATAATTCCGTGTTATATGAATTCCATGTTGTACGAGTCACTTAGATTTCACAAATACGTGAGCCGTTCACAGCCCGGCACACGTATTTGTAAAATCTAAGTGACTCGTACAANGTTTTATATGAATTCCATGTTGTACGAGTCACTTAGATTTTACAAATACGCGTGCCGGGCTGTGAACGGCTCACGTATTTGTAAAATCTAAGTGACTCGTACAACATGGAATTCATATAAAACGGAATAATCAACAGTGTTATAGGGGGATCGACTTGTACATACAAAATGGATTCCAACAAGGACCATTTTTTTTTACGTTTCTCGCACAGGTTTCATTGTATATAACAGAATTTAAAGGAGTTTAAACACTCGTACGATTACTTTTTTTTCATTTGAAATTCCTATTAAAAATTTAAAATGATGGAAATGATGTTTACTATCGGAAAATTTAATTTCGATAATATACAGGTGGAAAAATCCAAGTTGTTTATATAAGAAAACTCTTCCAGTTCTCTAGACTTTATGAAAAACGTGAAGAAAAATATATGGAAAATTTTAAATTGAGGTGGGTTATAAAGGCACTCGAGTAAACACTAAAGTTAAATTAGTTTCTAAAGAAAACTTTGAAAAAATAAATAGTTTTCCATTAAAAAAAAAAGGTCTTTCCTTCGTTTAATTTTGATTTATACTAATATTAAATTAAATTAAATTGATAGAGTAATGAAATCCAATACACAAGCAACCGTGCCTAACCCGTAAACTCCTAGTGTCAGTCTGTTAGTCAGGTTCGAACCCACGACTGATGGTCAGTGGTTTCATCCTCTCCGCACTGGTAAGTAAAAGGTAAATGGAGATTAAGTAGAAAAGTTGTATCGAATTATTAATTACTTTTGTTCAAACACAAAGAATAAAAGCTTAAATCTCCTTTACCTACACTAAACAATACAAAGGTAATTTTCAAAATGTCGATTCGTTTAAATATTTCATAGATTTGATCTCTAGCAAATATTTCTTCCGTAACGGTAATCTCATTTCGCTCCATTGGAGCATATTAATAGTAATACTTTGCGGTATCAAACGAAGAATAATTACTCTAATTACGTACAAAGTTTCGATTTTAATTATAATTAATTGCTAATACTTATTCCATGAGATGAATTCCTTTCCTTTTCCAAATTATTCGCAAGTTTATAATCTAATTATTATTTCGGGTATTGTATATAACTCGTAATTATGATTAAACATTCCATATATACATTGAGACATTCAAAAATAATTACTACAATAGCTTCTTAAGACGAGTGATCTTGTATCGACATACCTGACAGATAAACCTGAACACAGGTGTGCCCTTTCCGATATACCTGAACGTGTGGATAACTATGAACTGTCGAGTTTTTTTTCATCCAAACGTTCAGGTATATTCAGGTGTACCTGTCCGGTATACCTGAACAGATTCTTCTTTAACTAGGGAAGTGTCAACGCAACACGTGGACGTTCTATCTATAGTAACTGGGTAGTGTCTGACAGAAAGACTTTCAATGGAAAACGGGACTCTATTTAGATATTTCAATGGGAATCTGTGGTCCCTGTTTAGTTATTTTAATGGAAAACGAGCCTTTATATAGGAGTTTCAACCAGAAAACAAAAAATATTCATTAAGAAATCAATTTCTTACATGGTTTTAAAAATTCCTCATTAGAAATAATTCTAAAAAATATAAAAATCTTCTATAAAATATAAGATTTCGGTAAATTATATTGCATGAAATTCAAACGGAATGGAAATTTTGGAATTAAATTTGAATTCTGTAACACTTAAAAGATATTTCTAACGCATTCACTTCTATTTTAAAGTAGAAAATATAGAACTTATACATAGAAATTTCAACATTTCAGTTTGAAGAGAAGATCGATTCGGTCCATCATCCGGTAACTATAGCAACGGAGTATATCTTCTGCATCTTTTCCTCTTGTAACCATCAATTTGACCAGTCTAAAATATCGTAAAATCGAATATTCGAAGGATTCGTTCATAATAAATTTATCATAGTTATATCGAGAATTTATAAAATTATTGATATAGAATGTATAAAATTCATGTTACGGATTCTTCCGATAACACAGAGTTAAAAAGTCTACAATCAAAAATCGAAGCTTTCTTTTTCTTCTCTTTTTTTCTTTATATTATGTAAAGAGAGATTGGATTGGTACATGTCTTTCTTCAGGAAACTGACCCCCGTTAGACACATGAAGAAAACTATGGGAAATAGACTCTTATTTAGGTGTTGAGCACGTAAAGAAACTGACCCCTATTCGAACAGAGTTAACACGTGACGAATGCTGACTATTTACACGAAAATATTTTTAGAAGGCCTTTTTTAATAGGGGATTCGGTCAGGCCCCATATCCAGGATAAGCCACACTCCAAAATGTTCCTGCGGTTGCCTGTTCAGATTCGATTTCGGATACTCCAGAGCGATAGAGTTAAAGAAAAGCAGTTTTCTCGTCTTTTCAAACTGCACAAATTCATAAACAGAAGTTCTATATACTCGAACCTTCAATGATGGCCCTCTCTAAACTTCAAGAATGTTTCTCTTTGAAATGCACACAAGAAAACCTCAAAAATAACGGCCATTTCTTTATGTTCCAGTCAGTTTCCGTTGTTAAGAGGTTTGACAACATACAGTTTGATGGTACCAATCAGTTGCAATGGCAAAAATATCATTTCAGAATCGTAACCCATTAGATTTTGGATAAAATTCGGAATAAAATGCATTAGAATTTCATTTCAAATTGAATCTTTTTCACGATTTTTAGCATCGATACAAAGAGAGAGTGATGAGATTTACATGATCTTTCATAATTTCCAATAAATTTACTCTTAAAAAGGACAAGATGAAAGAAATTCAGGTTTAAAACACAACAAACAACGTATTGGATCATCAAGAAATTCAGTGTTTTGTCAAGGAAAAGAATCATTGCGAGAAGAGGAGAAAGATTTCACTCCGATTACCATAATAGATTTCATGATAAATAGAAAAACAGTCGTTAGGACAGAGATTTTCTTTGTTTCCATTAAAAAAAAAGATTAAATGGAAATAGCGAGTGAAATCTTCATTAAGCCCTACCCTACTCCAGATACGAAACCTGACTCCGTATATCTCCCTACCCCCTCGATCTTTAACCATCAAAATTTAATGGCATCAAGGACCCTAATACACAAACCACCCTGCAAAATTTCAGAAATTTACAACTAAGGGCACAGGAGTTATTAAGCTTGAAATTATGTGAATAAAAGTATGATCCCCTCCTCAAACACATAGAAAAACTGTCAAATTTATAACAAGGAATTCTTTCGTTTATGCCTTTAAAAATGTGCCTTTTGAAGGTACATTTGTCTAGAGATAATCAATGACCCAATCAATAGATTATAGAGAAAATGGATCATTAAAATGTCTGAAATGCTCGTTGTGTTGTGGCACAGTTT